TCAGTTGGATAAAGCTGGGCAAAACGGATCAACTTATGCTTGTCAAAAGCAGAGAATGAAATACTTGGATCTAAACATGTCATACAAAGAAGCAATTCAGTACTAACCTTAGTGAAACGAGTGTTAAGTTCTTGAAGTTACATATCTATCACTGTATAAAATAATTCAACTCGATAGTGATGCAAATTTTTCATGTGCTCAACTCTTCGTCGTGGCTGCCTTCGAATTACAAACATATCATCCATATTTAAAAGGACAATATCATGTTTTTGGCAAAATAAAGAAATTTCACTCAATAAAGATTTCCATCCTTCATCTCTAACAATTGTAACCGTTGTTTTAGAGACTTTGACTAAGGCCATAGCATTTACAATGTCTTGATCTTTTCTCTGCAATGCTTGTGGCAACTCATTAGTAATTGCCAATATACTTTTCATCATATGCAAGCTAAATGCAAAATCAAAGGAATAGACTACATCTAATAGATTTAGGGGTGAAATCAAATCAAGTCAAGTATTTGGTAAATCGAACTCAACTCGATCTCTATAGTACCGAGTTCAAGTTCGAGTTCAAGCCTGATCGAACATGAGAAATCAAGTTCAAACTCGAACTTGGTACTTGAAATTGGAAATTGAATTCGAATTCAAGTTCCTATAATATCGAGCTTTTTTCGAGTTTTAGTCGAGTTTTATTCGAGTTTTAGTCGAGTTCAAGTTCGAACTCGATTTCAAGTTCAGCTAACAGGGGTGGATTTGCAAAGTCTGTCAGAAATCCACCTTGAAACCACCACCAGAATCCCCATCCTATCCTCTCTATAAAATTGGTCGAATTCACGTTGCCTTTATGCAACCCACTCCCACTGTGTGCTCACCGTATTTAGGCCAAATCAACCTGAATCCAATGTTGTTGAGCATCCCCACCGCCACCAACAGACTCCCAACAATCCCCTCAACAAAACCCCTCTCTTTCCTGAGCAATTCCACCCCCTATTGCTAACCACCACGCACGGTTGACTAGCGTGATTCCAACATTTTTTCGGTCGATCCCAATTTTGACAACCCTATCCACGACCACCCCATTGGCTCATCAACTTCCCCCTACAAAGCCCTTAACCTTCCCGACCCTAGCAGCCCACCATTCATCGTTCGCCACTCAACCTAGGATTTATAGCATTTTTTTTAAATTGGTTGTTAAGGATTTTTGTTTGATAAAATTGAAGTTTGGGGTTTGTTTGAGGGATTAATTGAAGTGTTTTTTTATAGTGGAACGTTGAATTTTGGTGGTCAAAACTCGAAAGTGAGTGGTAGCCTGGTGAGTTGGTTGGGGACGTTCCACAAACAGCTTGAGGGTGGCAAAAGAAGGGCCGGTGGTGACAAATGGTGAGTGGGGGAAGGTGGTGTGAGGGTAGGTTTTGAAGAGGGGGGATGGTGGTGGTTTGGTGGATTTTCGATGAGGGAATCAGTCGAAAAATGGCTACAAAGAAAGGGGGGTTGCGAAGACGAATGATCACCGTTTTTTGGCGAATGACCGGAGCAATGGTGGCGGGGAAGTCTGGGGAAAGGTAAGGATGGTGTAAGGATTAGTGAAGGACTTGTTGTAGGTGGAAAAGTAGCCAGAAAATGGTTAAAACCATCGGGTGTGGTGGTGGTGGTTTGGAATGGGGTGAATGACATTTTGGTAATAGCATCTGTTTGAACCCAACAGTCACTAACAGTGTTTTTTTAAGGGTGGGTATTTTGAATAAATGAAATTAGTGTTATTAATTTAGAATTTTCCTAAATCTCGGGTGTTAATATGTTGTTTTCTTGTATTTAAATAGAATCGTGTCTCTATCTCAAGTCTCAACACTAGTAATATTCAAACCTTAAATTAAATAAACAAAAATAAAATAAATGATTATATTGCGTTAGGTGAGTAGTCGGTTTTTGAATAGACATCAACCTTTCACATACAGATAGTCAGTGTTGTAGTCATTGAATTGAGAGATACTTTTCTCCGTATAAATGAAGGCAATCCAATAAGAATAATAAATAGAAAGAAAGGAATTTGAAAGGCGGAAGTGAAGAAGATGAAGATGAAGAAGAAGAAGAAGAAGAAGATAGGTAGGCATTTCACTTTAGTGATAAGGATTTAAAGAGTTCCTGGTATATAAGAATTTAATACCAAGAAACGCCACGTATGATAATGGACGATGGGCCATCACAAAAAAAATTACCCTAAAAGACCTTTAAGCAATTAGGCCTTTTAGCAATTGTCGAGGAGGTGAGGTCGAGCTATCACTATGACAAGTGGTTCAACTAATGAATGGAGTGCATGTTGTGGACCATACCCACTCACTCCATCAAATCAAAATCCAATCACTGAAATTATTTCTTTGTTCTTCTTTGGGTAATTTCGTAATTTCACAAATTGATTTATCTCTTTACTCAATCTACTATTTGATTATTCTCTTCATTTGAAATTGACGTATAATGATATGAATTCATTTTATTTTGGGAACATCTTCCAAGGATCAGATTACTTTTGATGAGATAAGGTAACATGTTACTTATGTATGAGGAATAAAACGAGTCACTCCAAGGAGGGGATGAATCTATGACCATGTCTTTTTTCTTTTTCTTTTTTTCTAAACAAGTTGTTGTGTTTGTTTTATTATTTTGGATAATATTTTTGATATTTTTAAAGTTAGGTTGGGATAACAAAATACGATTTAAAAATTAACAAAAACACTTCTTAGGTTTGTTAAATAATTGAACACTCCTGTAATAAAAATATTAAAAATTACAAAAACACCGTCATCTATCCATTAAATTTTGGCAGCCGACCACCATCACCGAAAGGTGACCAGAGTTGCCGTATCGATGCACGATTAGCTGGATCCGACTGGAAAATAGCAGATCTATGGTCAGATCTAGTCATATTTGATTGTCAACGACATCCATATCTTAGCCGTTGTTGATGACCAACTACGACCAAATATTTGGACTTTTTCTATCAGATCCATGGTGGATCTGGTCAGAAAATGATAGATCGGTATACTACTGGCTAGATCCAGTCGGTAGTGCGTCATCATACCAGATTCTGATTACCTTCCAGTAGTAGTGGCTGAAATTTGGCAAATGTGAGTGGGCGAATATGTTTTTATTAATTTTTAAACTTTTTTCTGAGGATTTTTTAGTTAAATTAATAAACTTAAAGGGTTTAAAAATAGTTAAAGAAAATATAATAGTATTTTCAGAATAGTAAAACAAGCTAATATTTTAGAAATAGTATGAATAAGATAGTTAAAAATATTTAAACAAATATACCCTATTTATCACGTGTAAAGGCATTATCTTATGACACAATTTCATTACCTTTTTCAATTATATAAATAAATTAATCATAATTCATAAACTCCGATATATTACATTAAGTGAATTGTACTTAGTGCTACGTTAGTCAGGTTTGGATCACATCAATGATGGGGATTTTTTTGTTCTTAGTGAGTTGGCTAATGGATTCCTCATGAATTTCCATTACCCCCTCTTGTACATATGTAACATCAAGAATACACTTATAATGCATATAAAACCTAGTACTCTAAATCCCAGCTCGGCCTAGTTGGCTTGACCGTTCGAATTTGGGAATCGAGAGCTTGGTCGATCCGGTTACACTGGAAACCTGTTATTAGTAGTTAATTCGCAGTTCGACCAGTGGAATAGTATTTATCGATTGGCGTATGAAGTGAATTGTTAAAAAATATCTATGAACTTATTTGTAAAGTCTAATAAGTTATATTCACAAGATTATTAAATATAGTTTTGATTCTAAATTTCTAATGTCCGGGCTATCACCTTATTGGAATTTTATAAGTCTTTCTCATCCATTAGTATTTATTGATAGGTTTCTTCATCAGACAAGTATCCCATGATTACAGGACATGATTAGGATAATTCAATAGGGATTTATCCCTTTTTTTTTTTTTTAATAAGATTCTAATTATCTTCGAATTACCTCCTTTTATAAAATGAATCACTTTCAACCACTAATTTTGTGACCACATAATAAGACTTTAGTTATCTAGGTGGATTATTTGAAATCTTGTGTTCGAGTTTCATAAAGCAGTCACCTACCATATTTATGACTTACCTAACTCATTAGATATATAGAGTGTTCAATGGACTCCCATAATTAGTTGACCCGGTGAACAAAAAAAAAAAAAAAAAAAAAGATCTTAAATGTTGATTAATTATTTTTGAAATTTTAGTAAAGCCATCCATTAAATTTTTTTTAATTTAAAAGATGAGTTATATAGTACTAAAGTCGCACATTTTTTTTTTTTTTTTTTTTTTTTAAATTAGGAGGTTATGGCTGTGGTAAGACCAAATATATGGGGAGGTAGGAAAGTATCAAGAATAAAATTATTGTATGGCTAAAATTTACCAAATTAAGGAGTAACATTATTAAAATTGAGTAAACGCCTTTTTCCCACCTAAGGTTTGCCTTAATGACAGTTTTCCACCCAAAAAGTTTCAAAATACCAATTTCCTACCCAAAGTTTATGTTATGTTAATACCCAAAATACACTTCATTTTCTTAGTTGGTGTTTTGCAAGTTACCATAAGTTGTGTTTGTAAAGCGGACAATGGAGGACGGTGGATCAAATGGTGGTGATCGATTGAATATTCGTCGCTGAAAATCAGTTAAGAACAAAAAACCCTAGCTTTACGTGGTTGACAATTGGCGAGAAATCAGGTATCGGAGTGAGAGAGTTTTATAGAGAGGAGATTGAAGGTTCAAATTTTGGTGACGAAGAGGATTTTCGCTGCCGGAATTGGCTTTGAGTAGTAACAGAATATTAACTTTGGATGGAAAAGTGGTAGTTTGAAACTTCTTTGGTTGACAAGGGCCATTAGGGCCAAGCTTGGGTCGGTCTTTTATTCTTTTAAAATTTAAACAATAATCACCGAATTTAGGGTTTCCTAAATTGTAAGAGACAAGTTATATAACTGAATTAGGAAAGAATAACTTTCAGGGGCAGACTTACGTGGTCCAATATCCAAGGTATCAACTTGACGTGTGATCTTTGGCAATCTAAGCGAACCGTGTAGAGATTGGCCTCGATTCGTATACACATAAAAACGCTCAAGTTAACGCATGCTAGTTTCTTTCGCGAAACCGACGGAGATTTTCCAGTAGAGAAGAAGACCTACCGAATCTCAGTACCAATGTTGCAGAGTCAGCGTTCTAGACGACGTTGCGAGGGCACGGCCATGGGCGCCATCGTTCTCGATCTCCGGCCCGGTCAAGGCATCGGACCTTTTTCTCTCGGTAATCATTTTAATTAATTCAATCGGATTAGACTATGATTAGTCAATTACTCTTTGGATTGATCCGAATCGAATCCGGACTCTTTGTAATTGATTAGGGAAGGTTATTGTTATTCAGCTAATTCGTTCAAATTTTAATCTTTTTTGTGTCGATTAAGTAATGATCATGAGATGTAAATTAAATTTTTAGGGAATTAAATTTCATACGCTCTGTTTTGATTGATTTGAATATTGTTCTAGGGATGCCGATATGCGAGGCATTTGCTCAAATAGAACAGCAGCCCAACATTTACGACGTGGTTCATGTGAAGTATTTTGACGAGGTTTGGCTGAAAGAATTAAGTTAAATACCATGCACATTTATGTAATAGATGAATTTAACAATTACTTTTATTATATTGCAAAAACGTTAAATTAATATTTACTTTAATTGGTCATTTTTTAACACATTATAGTTTGTATGGTTAGGGAAATGATGGGGTTAATATGTTAATGAGTTAATGACTTAGAATTTATTGCTGTGCCTGTTTTATGTAGGAGCCACTTAAGCTTGATATTGTTATTAGCTTCCCAGATCACGGTTTTCACCTACGTTTTGATCCTTGGTCTCAGGTAGTACTGTTTCCCGTATAATCTCCCTTTATTTTACTTGTTTATCTATATTTTTGGATGTGCTACATATCTGTTGAGATTATTAATATTACTTCACCATTGCCTATTGTATGTCAATTATAATTACTGCTATCTTAACACTGTCAAAGTAAGTATGTAAATGTTTCAAGTTTTTTGAATTTTCTAACTTTGAATGCTGTATCAGAGATTACGCCTTATTGAAATTTTTGATATCAAACGGCTTCAAATGCGCTACGCGACTTCTTTGATTGGGTGGGTTGTGTTCTGAACTTTAGTTTTCAGTGTTTTAGTTTAGTAATTTACTAATAAAACATACTCCTAAACACAGGGGTCCATCAACTCTTGCTACTTTTGTAGCTGTATATGCGCTTTTTGGACCAACTTTTCCTGGAATTTATGACAAAGACAGAAGTGTTTATACACTGTTCTACCCAGTATGTACCCCGAATGCATAATTACCTGCATACCAATTATATTTCTGAAAATATGCATACTTTGTTCTGGTATTTATTTGACGTTGGTATTTTGCAGGGGTTGTCCTTTGCTTTTCCCATTCCCAGCCAGTATGCAGATTGCTGCCATGACAGAGAAGGTGTTAATACACTATATTCCACTAATTTAAACTTGTGTTACCAGATTTTAAGTTCTAAGTTGTTAACAATATCTCATTTTTCTTGAAAGCCGAGTTGCCGTTAGAGTTTCCAGATGGCACTACACCAGTTACTTGTCGTGTGTCTATATATGACAGTTCTCCAGACAAGAAAGTTGGTGTTGGATCAGTAATGGATAAGGCTATTGCTCCTCCAATGCCTCCTGGAAGCCTGTACATGGAAGAGGTGCATGCTAAGGTTTGAAATCATTAATCACAAGCTCTGCTTTTATTTCAGTTTATATATTTTATCTTAATTTAGTGAATTCCTACTTGCTTTACTTTTATCTATAGTTTCCAATTCAAAATTAGTGAACTACATTGCATTTTCAGCTTGGGGAGGGGTTATGCTTTACTGTTGGGGGCCAGCATATTCCTTTTGGTGCATCACCACAGGTACATTTTAGATTTTATGTTGTTTTGCGTAGTATGTTGTGCATAAGATCTTTTGTTGTTTTGTAACCTAATTCTACTAGTTCATGCTTACATTTTTCCTTTCACATTGCGTACTAGCTATTAAACTTCAATTGAAATTAACAGTTTTTGGTGACTAGTATTGTCATTCTTAGTTTTAAACTTGCATTGAAGGAACTTGCAATGGTTTTGATAAATCATGCTTTTCACTCCTCTTAGACAAGGTAAAAATGTATGGAACCTAAAGTGGCTTCCTCTTTTATGCAGGATGTGTGGACTGAACTAGGCCGCCCTTGTGGAATCCATCAAAAGCAGGTTTTCTTGAGTAACGGACTTTTGACATGAAGTGTCAGGCTATTATATAGAATTTGACTTGTTAATTTAGATTTTGTTAGCCTTACAGGTAGACCAAATGGTGATTCACTCAGCCTCAGACCCTAGGCCACGGACAACGCTCTGTGGCGATTACTTCTACAACTACTTTACTCGTGGTTTGGACATTTTATTTGATGGCCAGGTACGTTCTCCTCTAGTTGAAAGTGTTTTGAGAAATGCCTGAATTGTTTAAACTATCATTTATTTTTTGATTCTTTTATGTTCATGATATATTGATTCATAATCTTGGCTCTATGGAGTTATTGAACAATAGTTGTGGCTTTGCAGACCCATAGAATTAGAAAGTTTGTTCTACATACAAACTATCCTGGTCATGCTGATTTCAATTCATATGTGAAGTGCAATTTTATTGTCCTTGGTTCCGAATGTAAGTTTCGTATCAAAGGGTTTTGTTAAAGGCTGTTTTTGGCTCAGAAATTAATTGACTACCTCTTTTCTTGTCTGCAGTTGAGGGTACAGACGCACATAGCTATAAGAACAAGATTACTCCCAGCACTAAATGGGAGCAGGTGAAGGTAATATCCTTGTAAATAGAATATCTTAATGCTCTTAATGTTTGCATTAAGGGATCTAATAAAGAAGACCTTTGTGTAAAAATTTGACAGCGTGACCTGCTCTAGAAAACGTACATTTTTGTCCCCTCTTAGGCCTAAAACCTTTGTTAGCTGGAGCTCTTCCTTAATGGCTTAATGCTTGTAGCTAGGACAAACTATAAGAGGATATTTTGTTAAACTATTTGGAAAAATCATGTTAAGCAGTTTAAGAAGGATTAAATAAGCAGCATGGGTTAGATTACACAAGAAGGTTTCAATTATCCTATTGTAATTTTTTTAATTTTCATTTTAGTTTCTTTTGCTGTTTTTTAGTAGTTTTTTTTTTTTTCAAAAAACTTTAGTGATCTATAATGTTGTTTCTTTCATGTTTTTCCTGTTTGATCTCCATGGTTTTCAACTTGTGAACCTTTGGTCATGATTTTAAGATGCTCCACTACAGTTATTTTGTTGTCTCTATAGCGTGATTATTTTAGATGTTTGATGGTTGTTTTAGTTGTGTAAAATTTTGAGTGGATTTATTTGTTTCACTTGAGTTTCTTTTAAAATTTGGTGGTGTTTAGGTGTGATTATCTGAATGTATGCCAAGGTATGAGCTTTCAGAGTCATTCTCGCACTTGATGTCAGGATGATTGGTTGAGTTCTCACTGTGGTTTATTGATATCGAGATTTTGCTTGCCACTCACAGTTCACAACTTTTGTCATTTTCCTTGTGGTAATAAATGTGTGTACTTTCCTACAGGAGATCCTTGGAGATTGTGGTAGAGCAGCTATACAGACACAAGGGTCAACTAACAATCCTTTCGGATCCACTTTTGTGTATGGCTATCAAAATATTGCATTTGAGGTTAGCAATTGGGATATTCTTCTATTTACCTTGATTACCCTCTATTATTAATGCTATCTTCATCATGATGCAATACTAATTTGCTAATTTTTAGTTTAGTTCAAACTATGTTGTGAGGAATTATTGCTTATAATTCTCTCTTTTGATTGGTAGGTGATGAAGAATGGCTATATTGCAACTGTAACTCTTTTTCAATCATGATAAATATTACTTCCCCCGGTATGCTTCTCCTGCGTAACCCCATTTACTAGTAGTGCTGTGTGTGCTGTGCTATTTTAGACTTCTACTTGTCCAACTACTAGCACTAGAGCCTTGAATTTAGGCTTTCTAAATTGCTGTCGGTCAATATGGTTGATGATTTGATTTTTCTTTAGGTTTGTCCCATCTGGTTGATGTCAATTCACAATAAAAGGGCGGTGCATTTGTATGGTCGTGTCTAAACCCAAATAAGTCAAATTAGGGGAAAAAGTGTCACCATTGTACAGCTATGTGTATTAATTTGTACAGTTATTCTTAATTGTAATTACTACGTGGCTTCTTTAGTTTACTTTTATAGAATTGAAACAATGTACTTTGTTCTCAAGTTGTTTTTTTTTTTTTTAAGCTTTAAGACTACTTTGTCCATTCCTGCAATGATCTTCTCGTGGCTCATGCTTCTTAACTTTGGGCTTCTTAACTTTGGGTTTGGTGTACCAACGTTAACTTTGTTTGACAATAATTTTTACCGTTCCTATACCTTGGTTTCTCCTGCCATTACATGTGGCATTTGAAAATTCTTGATAATTTTTATATGGCCTTTTCGCTTTGAATGTTTTGACCAGAACTTAAACATGTCCGGAAAGCTTAAAAGACACTTTGGTTTTAAAGAGATTATGAAAACATTGAACTTCGAAGGTACTTCGAAGGTAGACCTAGCAAAACAGGTGGGTGGGCTGGGTCAAACGGGTACGGGCCTTATACGGGTTGATATATGTGAGTCCAATATTTTGGATCCGTGCCCTAACCTATACGGATACGGGTGGACCTGTTTTTTCTCTCTGCAGATTTTAGTTTTAACAGTTTCACCCCTAACAGTTTTCAATTATGACAATTACACCCCCAAAATTCGTGCAGTTTTAATTTTTTACATTTATACCCCTAAATCAACTACTCTACATTCAATTCAATTAAGAATATAAACAAATAGGAACCAAAATAAACAAATAACATATAAACAAACAATAACATATAATACAACCAATAATGGTGTGTCTGTATATCGTTACATCAATTTAACCAAGTAAGAAAACAAGGATACCTAGCCGTAGCATTTGCAATCGGTACAACATTTAACAAATTTGATAATTTTTTTCCCTAATAGGAATCTTGTTGCTTACATTACTCGTGCAACCACAAAACTTGGAACAAAGCTAGCTCCCTTCATGGCAGCTTTTTCATCAAAGGGACCCAATAAAGTAACCCCAGAGATACTTAAGGTATAATTGGCAACTCAGTTTCTTTAAACATAGATCTTGAGCCATCTGAATGGGATAATAATTAGATTTGTACATATGTTCAGCCTGATATCACAGCTCCAAGAGTGAGTGTTCAGCCTGATTGGAGTCCTGTAGCAATTAAATCTGTAATGACTTCAATCTGTAATGAGTTGGAAATTTGTAACTCCTTTAGCTTAGAAAGCCCTGATAAAGGTGGAAAATTAGAGGTTAAATAAACTAGCCAAACATAAAAAATTTAGAGACAATAATTCATGCCAAATTCTTCACTCGGTCTTCAACCAAAAAGAAAAGAAAGCATATAAACTATTTATCGAAAAGACTGTTAAAAACATACTAAAAAACACACCAATAGAAATAAAAAAACAACGAAAAACACGAACCCAGCTAACATAATCAATTCAAAAAATCAGCAAGACAAAATAGTTAAATTCTGGGGTAGCATGGCATTCATGGCTCATTTTGAGAAAAATAAATAAATAAATCCACATAAACCATCATTAGCAACTATACTAAAGACAGTAGAAAAACTTACCATGAACAATGGAGCTATGTAATAATCTCCTTGAAGATAATCAAACGACCTCGCCACCTTTTGCCGATAATTGAACACAGTATCCGTTGCAATAAATGAAATCAAGAATTTCACAATTTTAACTAATCCAAATAAACTTGTAAGAACAATAATTTAGGAATGCCACCTCAAATGGTAGCCAATACAAAAGCTTCTTCCCAAATACTTGAGCATAAAAAATACTCATGTAATTGACGATTCAATTCATTCCAAACAAATAAATTAAATGGAAGCCACTAGAAAAGTTTCTGATCTCGCAATTCTCTGAACTCTCAGATTTCTTACAATTTCGTAAATTTCCTCTTGCCCAAACAACTCAAACCAATTGTATCTAATTTATTCTCACCTTTTCACATTTCTTCCAACAACTAAAACCAGATTAAAACTAAGTACAATTATAATTTTCTCACTTTTTCACATTGCTCTCTGTCCAACAAACTCAAACTAGATTAGAACTAAAATAAATTCCAATTTTCTCTCACTTTCTCACATTTCTTTCTACCCAATTTTCTCTGCCCAAACAACTCAAAGAATATAAAACCAAGTAAATTCTTATTTTCTTCACTTTCTCAAATTTTCTCTCCCTCAAAATAACTCAACAGATTAGAATAAATAAAATTTCATTTTCTCACGTTCTTTCCATCAAAACAAGCAAACAATAAAACTAAAGTAGAAATTATAATTTGCTCTCACTTTCTCATTTTCTCTCAGTCTAACAACTCAAATATATATCAAAGTAAGTACAATTATTGAAAGTATTTCATATCATTAAAGTTTTTCAGACTGGATTTGGGCCGTTCACTTTCTTCCTGCTATCTTATAGCCATTCATGCTCATTTGGCTGTTTTCATACCTCTCTTTTGTCTCCGTCCAAAAAACTCAAACTAGATTAAAACTGAGTCAAATAAGTGAAAGTATTTCATATCTTTCAAAGCTAATCATTTAAAAAATTGTGCAAAAAGATCAACATTTTAAAGGAAAAACAGTTTTGGTAATATAAATTTCAGTGACTAGCAAATACACATAACCGATAATAATTGATTCCAGTATACATCCCTTATACATTTAAGTAAACCCCACTTGCAAAACCCATCAACCAGGGGAACCCAACACAAACACACTCAACGACATAGATCGACGTACAAGGAAAGCTCACACAAAATTGTCAAAAAAAACAAAAACAACACACAAAATTAGGGGTTAGGGATTTATTACCAGCTGACGGAGATGAGTGCGACGACTGGCGTTGTGGTACGTCGAACTAGGTAGGAATGACAGACGAGTGACGAAGAGGGAGACACTGAGACAGGAGTGTGAACTTTAGGCACGAAGAAGACTGATGACTGATGAGAGATTGAGAGGCAGGAGAGATTTGAGTTACGAGAGTCTGAGAGATGAGATGCGGCCGCGATTTGAGACTGAGAGATCAAAGATGAGATGAGAGTGAGACTGTGAGAGGCGTGAGCGTGAATGCGTGATAAAAACTTAGGGATTCAAATTCATTAGTGAACTGAATAGTGAATAGTGACCAACAAATACGGGTACCCGCGGGTTCACCCATATAAACCGTGAGATATTGGATCGGATACGGGTCTCAAAAAATTGGTTTAATATATTAGACCCGTACCCTATATTTTTTACTCGGGTACGGGCCGACTCGCGGGTCCAGACCTGTTTTCCCAGGTCTACTTCTCAGTAGTTGTATTTGCTAAAGTTATGTATTTTTCATTTATTTAAAGTCAGAAAAGTGAAGACCTCTTTATCTTTTTAATGGCACATAAAACTTTAGAAGTACTTCTTGATAGTTGTGCTTGCTAAATTATGTATTTTTATCGTTAAATAATCAGAAATGTTGAAATCTTTTTAGGGAAAATGTAACCTAGAGAAATAGGTTAAGATTATAAAAAATAGATTAAATTTGAGCTCAAGTCTTAAGTATGTGTTAAGATTACTCAAAATCAAAAACAAAAATCTGTAATGTAGCAATATTATCTAGATGTGTATCCATTGTTTTAAAAACCGGACCGGAGGGCAACCCGCTCTGATGGCTGGGTCACGGTTCAACCGGTTGGACTGGTGACATCATCACACATCATGATGACGTCAGTACATTTTAAAAAAAAAAAAAATTTTTTTTTAGATTTCTATTTTTCAATAAGACAATAACAATTTAATTACTGTTCAACATGATTCAAAGTTTAAATTCAACAACAATCTTAACATAATTTAAGTATTTAAAAACAATTCAAAATCCAAATATGATGTTGTATTTACATATCAAATGACAAAATACATAATAATTAATAACAAAACATTTGATGCAAGTGTTTTTTCTTTGATCCGTCTCCATGTTGATTGAGCTTCACACATTAGCATCAAAATTCATCACCATTATCATCATCATAACCATCACCACCATCTACGCAAATTTTAGTAAAAAATAGAAATCATAAGTTAAAACTTGTAATTTAAATAGATACTAAGTTAATATAAATTAATAGATGAAACTCAGAGGAAGCATTGTGTTGATTGTTGCCAAAATTTCATTCAGTTTCTTATATATAAACCAGAAAGCTTATCTAATTTATCTCTAGAGAGTAGCCAAAGATCATGAAGACAGTTTTACCATCATTGCTATTCGTCTGTAACACCAATGGCCATGCACCAGCAACAAACGTTCCAAATAACGAAATTGAGCTATTGAAAAATCACTTGACATCACAGCCTGCACTTGAGGAAACAACCAAATCAGAAACCAGATTATTAAATCATTTAGGTTAGGCTTGGAAAGATATTAATAAGCATCCCTGGAGATGAAAACTATGGTTAAAGATTTCATTTAGAATGAAATTTCAGAGGAAGATGTAGACAGCAATCAATTCTCAAAGTAGCGATAGAAAAAGTGAACATCCTTTGTGTACAAGGAGCAAAAGCTAAAGGTGGGCTGTGGGGTTGGGGTTGGGGTTGGGGGTTCATTATATGAGAGAGAGAAGGAAAACAAGATGTGTCGATCTATCCAAAACATCCATTCAAAATCACTTAATGTGATCTGAGAGAGAAAAATCTACGCAGTAGTTAAATCCTTAAAGAAGTCACAGAAAATTGATATTTTAAACAGTTCATCTACAGAGTGCAAATGCAGAGGGGAAAGTTCAACGTCAGAGGTATAGGGTCAATCATTCCACCAAAACCAATCCCTCTTAAGAACATTAAAAGTTTAAACAGCTAAGGGCTTGGATGGTCATGCAAAATCTCAATCAAGCAGGAAATCTTGTCAAACTCCTGCTTAAAGATTNTTTGCTAAAGTTATGTATTTTTCATTTATTTAAAGTCAGAAAAGTGAAGACCTCTTTATGGGTTCGCATAACACGTCTCTTTAATGGCACATAAAACTTTAGAAGTACTTCTTGATATTTGTGGTCGCTAAATTATGTATTTTTATCGTTAAATAATCAGAAATGTTGAAATCTTTTTAGGGAAAGTGTAACCTAGAGAAATAGGTTAAGATTATAAAAAATAAATTAAATTTGAGCTCAAGTCTTAAGTATGTGTTGAGATTACTCAAA